CAAAGCTAGGTCCATGAAGACATGGATTGCCAAGGAGGTATGGAAGAATTACAGTGCCCAGCATAGATATCTGCCCTCAAACCCACTGAACACCTTTGGGATGAATTGGAACTCTGACTGCATGCCAGGTCTTCTCATCTGACATCAGTGCCTGACTTCCCTAATGCTCTTGTGGCTGAATGGGCCAACTTAGAACATGGCACCTTTGGTGGCAGCCCACTTAATTTTTAGCTGAGCAAAATTACAGGAACAGATAGTCTTAAAGTAAATTAAAGTCATGTATACTTAATATTTGGTTTCAAAAACTGCATCAAGTCAGCAACACACTGACATCAGCAAATTGTTGCATTCTTCTTTTGTGATGCTTTTCCAGGCTTGTACTGGAGTTGCTTTCAGTCGTTGTTTGTTTTGGGGGGTTTCTCTCAGGATCCTCTTCAGGAGGTGAAATGCATGCCCTAATGGTACTCAAAAGGTCTGGTGATTAACTTGGGCAGTCCAAAACCTTCCACTTTTTTCCCCTGATGAAATCCTTTGTTGTGTTGGCAGTGTGTTCTGGATAATTGTGTTGCTGCATAATGAAGTTCCTCTCAATTAGATTCACATTCAAATTCAAACAGATTGAATGTATTTCTCTGTAAATTGACAGACAGAACTACAGTCTACAGTTATTGTAGACTTGTAGACAGAATTCATTCTGTTGCTACCATCATGAGTTTCATCATAAATACAGATTCTTACTTCTGATCACTGGTTTGAACCTTGTGGTATGGACTCTATGTTTCTGCTCTTAAAGCCTTCTTTGGATTGCGATAAATTCATCCCTGTGCTGTTGAAATTGTTGGTGTCACTAACTGTTGTTTTTGGGATTTTCTTCACAGCTTTCACAATGTTCCTATTAGCAACTCTGTTGTTTTCTTTGGCTGACCTGTTTGATGTCTGGTTATTAGTACACCAGTCATTTATTTCTTTTTTAGGAAATTCCAAATTGTTGTGTTGGCTATGCCCAATGCTTGTGCAGTGGCTCTGATTGATTTTCCCTCTTTTCTCAGCTTCAGCATGTCTTTCTTTTCTCCTATAGACAGCTTTCTGGTCTTCATGTTGGTTTATCCATTTTAACAACAAATGCAGTCTTCAGGGTGAAACGCTGGGCAAAACCCAGGGCTCAAACCAATAGTAGACATTCAGTTTAAACATTAATTGTCAATCAAACAGTGCCATGTTTCAAAGTTCAAAAACACATTTAGAGTAAAGATCAGGAAATGAAAGCTAAAATTCAGATCTATTGTCTCATATTCATTGATTTCAAATCCAAAAGTCTTCAGTGTATGGCAAAAACAAAAGAATTGGCCTTATTGTACCAATACTTTTGGAGAAGACTATATTCTGTGTGTGTGTATATATTTATATATATCAAGTCAGCTGCCAAGTCAACACCTTGAATTCTTTGTCATGTTCGTCAAACCATTCCTGAACAAAAAGAGGCCACTGCCATTAGGGAACACTGATGCAATGAAGGGGTATACTTGGTCTGCAACAATGTTTAGGTAGGTGGTACGTGTCAAAGTAACATCCACATGAAACCTATGACCCAAAGTTTCCCAGCAGAACATTGCCCAGAGCATCAGACTCCCATAGTGCATCTTGGTGCCATTTCCTCCCCAGGTAAGCGACGTACACGCACTCGGCCATCCATATGATTTAAAAGAAAATATGATTCATCAGACCAGGCCACCTTCTGCCATTGCTCCGTCATCCAGTTCTGATGACCATTGTAGGTGCTTTCGGCGGTGGACTGGGGTCAGCATGGGCACTCTGACCCATATGCAGCAAGCTGCAATGCACTGTGTGTTCTGACACCTTTCTATCATAAACAGCATTAACTTTTTCAGAAATTTGTGCTACAGTAGCTTTTCCGTGGGACCGGCCCAGAAGGGCTAGCTTTCCCTCCTCACACATATTAGTGAGCCTTGAGTGCCCATGACCCTGTCAGGGGTTCACCGGCTGTCCTTCCTTGGACCACATTTGGTTGCTACTAACCACTGCATACTGGGAACACCCCACAAGATCTGCCATTTTGGAGATGCTCTGACCCAGTCGTCTAGCCATCACAATTAAAGTTTATCAAAGTTTCTCAGATCCTGAGAAACAGAACAGAAACTATAACAGTATGCACTATTAGGTGATAACATTAACTGATTAAAGTAAATTGTATTTTTTTGTTAGGGGCTGCATAGACAAATTGATTACACTAATATATTCACTAGTCTCCACTGTGGAGATGCCGACTAACTGGCGGATGGTAAAAAGCCAGTCTGAATGTAATATTTTGGAGTAGATGAAACAGATTGCTTTAATGGAAGGTTTTCACTTTCATATGACCTTGTATGAAATGTACTGCATTAAACACTAGTTTTTGCTTTAAGTATGGAAATGACAGCTAGTAGACTAGTTCAGTACTTTTTTGAAATCCTTTTCTGACCATTGCTTGACTAGTTGAAAAGTCATGAAAAATCTTATATAGGCTATAAACCTCTTATATGCAGTTTTGACATATCAAAAATACAGTGTGTAATGGTAAAAAAAGAGATTTAAGAAGAACTCACACAGAATTTTCTTATATGCTAAGAATATACAATATACTTTACTCCAGAAAGTATTCACCCCTCAATGATTATTTCTCTTTTTGTTGTATTGCAACATCAAATTCAAGTATATCAGAATTTTTTTCCCTTCTCTTTTTGAAGTAACTCCCCACAGAAATAAAATTCTGGACTGGAACAGTTTCTCCTCAACAATTTGCATATACAGTTCCCTCCGAAAGTATCGGAGCCAGCTTAATTTACTACTATGACTACTAAATGTATAAAAATAATCAGAGCCACACATTCATTCATTATCTCAAAGTAGGCTTTCAGTTAGAAAGTATCTATTACCAATTGTAAGTGACTGTGGCATATGATGAGCAATAATATTAAAAAAAAGAATATGAGATTTAACTTCATAGCCTTTTCACAGCTTGTACACAATGTGGTCTGTCAAAAGTGGTCCGCCACAGAGTGCAGCTTTTACCTACTTTTTTAGTAAGATCAGTCTGCGGGCTGCTGACGTCCAAATAATTAGCTATAAACCTGCAATAATAGCTAGCCAGCCCCAGGAAATGTCTCGCCCCCTTTTTGGTCTTGGGTCTTGGGCAGGCCGCAATCTCTGCAGTCTTTTTAATTTGATGACGCACCTGCCCATGACCCAAGTGGCCCAGATACCATACTTCCACCCACCGAATTGCAAACTTTTTTGGATTTGCTGTTAGTCCCACCCATTCCAAGGAACTCAAGACAGCCCTTAGATGTTTTAAATGTCGCTGCCAATCATTATTATAAATGATAATGTCATCGAGGTATGTGGCAGCATATGCATTGTGCAGTTGTCCATTAGTCCAAACTCTGAAGTATATAGAGCTATACTTTCTGCTCAGATTCAGTCAAATGCTGCAAATTTGATAGGATGGCGCTTCACATTACAGATGGATAATAACCCAAAACATACCACGAAAATAACCCAAGAGCTTCTTAAGGCAAAAAAATGTAAATGTTCTTAAATGTGACCTCAACCCAACTGAGCATGCTTTTCATTTACTGAAGACAAAACTTAAGGCAGAACGACCCAAGGGAAGAAACTCAGGTGATGCCCGTGGGTTCCAGACTTCAGGCCATCCCTTACTGCAAAGGATTTGCATCCAAGCTTTTAAAAATAATCCTTATATTTATAATTGTTAGTTTGTCTAATTACTTTTGAACCTGTGAAAATGGAGGGATTATGTAAAACAGTTCTTAAACAGTTAATGCAATGTTTTTGTTAAACCCCTTGAAGTAAAGCTGAAAGTCTACACTTCAAATCCATGTTGCTTCATTTCAGGTCCATTCTGGTGGTGTACGGAGGCAAAATTATAAAATTCTATGTCACTTTATTCTTGAATTTTCCCTATGGGGGATCAATAAAGGTACACCTTATCTTATCTGTCCACATACCTATGGACCCAACTGTATGTCAACCTATGCAGTATACAGTTTTTGCCTTCAATTATAATCATACAAAATTGTGTGAACTATAATTACTTGCTTGACTGCTCCTACTGCCTATTGAGAAGGTATACACATTATTTCTCTCAGTGGCCCGAATCCAATGTGCTGCATGCTGGGAAAAAGCTAGCTAGGTACATGAGACCGGGAAATATATCAGTAGACCAAACAGAATGCAGTCTGGTTATGATTAGAAACATGTTTTATTATTTGGTAAAAGTAAATGAACGTCTTACTGTCACTGAAGCTAATGTTACGACATTCCTTATTGGACACCAGCCACCACCAACACACACAATCATGTCACTGCTCTATGGTCACAATTAAGATAGGCAGTGAATCAAACCACTATTATGGATATTGGGGGTGGAGGTTGGATGGGTATCATTTTAAACATTATAAAAACGTTTTGGCTTTAGACCAAATGGCCCTTTTTTAGTCTCATCAGGCCGCAAAATCTTTTTCCAAAAGCTCTTAGATTTTCTAACACGGCCTTTCTCAGAAGTGGGTTCCTTCTTCCTTCTGAGTGAGCTATGTAATCCATTCAGTGTTGTAGCTGGACTCTTGGATATTTCTCTGACAATTGCAGTTCTTGCCTGAGCATTTAGTTTGGCCTGATCTTGGTAGTATATGGGTTGTACCATGTTTATTCAACTCTGTTATAATGGTTTTCACAGTACTCCTAAGAAGGATCAAAGCTTTGCCAATGTTTTTTAAAACGTTCTCCATCTTTTTTCTTCCTAATAACTTCATCCTGAAGCTTCACGGGTCAACTCTTGGTCAACTCTCATAAATTAAATACTAGTCTTAATTACGTTACTAAAGGGAAGAGTGTAAATAATTATCAATAATAAATTTTTTTTTAAAAACATAAAAAAAAAATTCTGAGGACATCAAAATACTTTATTTAATATTATGTTTATAGCAAAGGTGGCTTAGTGGTTAGCACTTTTGCCTCACACCTCCATGGTTGGGGGTTCGAATCCCCCCTTCTACCCTGTGTGCGCAGAGCTTGGATGTTTTCCCCATGCTTCTGGGGCTTCCTCCGGGTACTCCGGTTTCCTCCCCAGTCCAAAAGACATGATTGGCATTTCCAAATTGTCAGTAGTGTGTGAATGGGTGTGTGCGCGATTGTGCCCTGTGATGGGTTGGCACGACATCCAGAGTGTCTCCAACCTTGTGCCCCAGGTTCCCTGAGATATGCTCCAGCCTCCCCCTGCAACCTTGTGTAGGATAAGTGGTACAGAAAATGGATGGAGGGATGGATGTTTGTCGAGAGTCACTTCAGAATTAGCAGAAAAATAAAACATATTTTAATATGCTTAAATTTGAGAAATAATCACTGGGGTGAATACTTTCTGGAGATTTAATAACACAAATTTAATACATTCTCGGAAATAAAATGCACCAAATTGTAAAACCCAACCCTCTTGAGAGCAACCCACAAAAAGCAATCTTTAATGTTTTATTGGAACCACAATTAGAATTGTGTGTTGTAATGAGATGAGAAGGGAACAAAATCATGCATATTATCAGCATGTTTTGTGAAAAATTTGGATTGCATCTTAAGAAAGCCTACAGTACAATATGGAGATGGATTTACAGTCATGGGAAAAAGAAAGTACACCCTCCTTCTCTGTTTTTATTTATCAGGGTCTAAAAAAACTGTCTGGTCTTCACCAACTTCTGTAGACAAATAAATTACATCAAAAAAAAAAAACACACAACAGATTTCAATATGTAGTCATTTTTTTTTCTCAAAAAGTAAACCAGGTTTTGATACCAAGTCGGAAAGAATAAGTACACCCTGTAATTCAGTGAAATGTACAACCAGCTTTAGCAGTTGAAGTAAACATTTTCTGTAGGAGTTTATCGGTCATTCACATCATTTTGCAGAAATTGAGGCCCACTCTTCTTTTCAACATTGTTTTTTCTTCTGATGTCTTTTCTTCTTGGCATGATGAAGACACACAGCTGAGTGTTCCAGAATACCAAACTGCCAAAAGTTCAGCTTTTCTAGAACTCGTCAGAATTCTTGATGATTAACTAATCTTGTGCATTTCGTTAGCAATACCTGGCTGCTAATTACTCTCCTAATAATTGTGAAAGTAGGAAGGGTGTACTTATTTTTTTCCACCTGGTTTCTGAATGTTGGTTGACTTTTTGGGAAAGAATGACTACATATTGAAATCTGTTCTGTGTTTTTGTTGTCACCTGAGGTTATTTGTTGGTTTATAGAAGTTGGTGAGGACCACACAATTGTTATTTACGCCCTGATAAATAAAAACATTGAAACTGAAGGAGGGGTTCTTTTTCTCATGACTCTATGTATTGGGGCTGTTTCACAGTTGTGCATGCATGGCTCTTATGAAATTAACACAGAAATGATTGCAAGAACTCAGTTTTTTGCAATGACCATCTCATTAAACTCTTTTGAAAACCTGTGGTCTGGTTTGCAGATGGAAGCTTAAAATGTTGTGGATGGAGGAGTATGCAAGATCCTCTACAAATGTCTCCAACCTTGTTACATTTTACAGGAAGAAGCTCAGAGTACCTGGACTAATGGCTGCAAAACGGCCCTAAAGAATCAATGATCCAGTGGGGCTTCATCAAATATTAATTGTGGGGTTGCTAATAACTGTAAAATTAGGCTTTTGTAGAAATAAACTGTAATACTAATAAATGATAGAAAAAGGTCAGCTTCGTTTACAGATAGTTACAATGGACTGTCATTCGTGCTGTGATGTACTGTGAACAAAAAATGCCCTTTCCACACATTTTTAAATATGGTAAATGATTTAGATTTGTTTTAAAAAGAATTAAGGCACTTTTTATGCTTTCTCTCTCTTTTTTTTCAGAAAATGGGCCTGGACTGTCTGTTACTACAGAACAAGCCAAAGTGGTGACTCACCGAGGGGGCAATGTAACACTGCCGTGCACATTTCAAAGGAACCCCGCGTTTGTCCCCAATCCCAAAATAAGGATAAAGTGGACTAAGTTAACATCAGATTATCTGAAAGAGATTGATGTTTTCGTAGCTATGGGTTTCCATAAGAAGAGCTATGGTAGTTTCCATGGCCGTGTGTATCTACGTGGTGCCAGTGAGAATGATGCGTCACTGGTCATTAGTGAGATAACACTGGAGGACTATGGAAGATACAAATGTGAGGTGATTGATGGTCTGGAGGATGGCACAGCAGTGGTGTCCCTCAATCTGCAAGGTAAAATTGTCACAAGTTAAAAAAAAAAAAAAAATTTAATTCACATAATTCACTCTCAACTAGCAGATTCAGAAGCTAATATGAGCACTTTGGAGGTGAAAATAATTTTTCTTGATAAACACAAGATATACCACTCTTTTTCCAAAGTCAGTGTTTAGGCAAATTCTTATTCAGGCTTCAATTTGGTGGAATTTATATCCATTCATGTTTACAGTAGGATTGTGGTAAACAGGTATTATTTGCTTAATAATCTGTGACTGGAAAGAATGAAGTATAAAAACAAACTAAATAAATAGTTTTCCCATTTGGGTCATATTTACTGTTAGGCAAAATATTTACATTCTTTACTGTTATATAATGACACATAGCTAAATTCTTTAAATGAATGAATCACAAGATGTGTAAAATCATAAATTCGAAGGACAAGAACATGATGTGACAAATCAGGGGTAAACTTTATTAATTTAGACCAAATTTATATTAAGATGATAGATTGTAATAATAAATAGAATAGTAAATATCAGATGTAAGGCTATAATGAAAGACACCAGGCCGCCTTGCAAAGGAATTAACTGAGATATCTTTCCACAGGTGTAGTTTTCCCGTATTTCCCACCTCATGGCCGCTATAACCTGAACTTCCAAGATGCTGAGAAAGCCTGTAAAGACCAGGATGCCATTGTGGCCTCTTTTGACCAGTTGTATGATGCTTGGAGGGAAGGGCTAGACTGGTGCAATGCCGGTTGGCTTAGTGATGGATCCGTACAGTACCCAATCACCAAACCTCGAGAGCCATGTGGAGGGAAGAATACTGTCCCTGGCATAAGGAATTATGGAATGCAAGACAAGGAAAAGAACAGATATGATGTCTTCTGTTTCACATCAAAGTACAAAGGTTTGTATAAATGTTGGTATATTTGTGAAACATCTAAAAGAAGAAAGCTAATTTTATTAAGGCATGCATTACATGATTAAATTATAATACAAGTTTCCCAGTTGGAGATTAATTTTACCTATAGCAAATTTTAATGGCCATTTTATGCCATTAATCTTTACAGCTTGTGTAGGCAAAATCATCATTGGCACTCTAAATCAAACATGCCATGCCAAGTCAAGCATTATACTTTTCTCTAGATACATGCTATAAATCCTAAATCATTTTAGTAGAAAATAAACCCTCAAAGTGAACAACCAGAATCTTAGAACCTTAACACTGCATCTCTGCACATTATTTTGGACTCTGTAGGTCGTTTCTATTACCTTACACCCTCTATGAAGATGACATATGATGAAGCAGTGCTGGCATGTCAAAAGGATGGTGCTCAGATTGCTAAGGTGGGACAAATGTATGCAGCATGGAAGCTGCTGGGCTATGATCGCTGCGATGTTGGCTGGCTGGCTGACGGAAGTGTGCGCTACCCCATCTCACGTCCACGTCGCCGGTGTAGCCCCACAGAGGCTGCTGTGCGCTTCTCCGGTTTCCCAGACAAGAAGCACAAACTCTATGGGGTCTACTGCTTCAAAGGGTACAACTGAGACATGATTAAATAAAGTTTAATACAAAAAGGAAGTGTAGAGGAGGAGTCAGCATGAGTAAAACTGTGACCTTATTCAAATACTGTATTAAGAAGGTAATTAAGAACACATTGGGTATTTGGTGTTTTTGAAGGTTTTGAAAACATGATGGCAAAAAACTCTCTTCTCAGAAATATGTTTGTTCCATAAAACACCAATACCATAAAACTGTTCTCAAAAATGATGCAAAAATATTTTTGGGAGTCTATATGGTTATTTACTCATACATTATGTAGCTATTTACATTTTAGGAGAGACAAGGCTTCTACGTATCATATGAGGAAGCAAGAGTGGATAAATAAATATAGATTCACAAAATTTACTAAACATCGATATAGAATCTCAGTAGTAATATGGCAGTAAAGCTTCAAAATATCTGACTGATATGTTTGAGCACATTTTTATTCAGTAGTATTGTACTCATAGATAATTGAAATGGTGGATAAAATAAACTTTTTTCTATAAAGAGAAAGATCAAACAAGTAATTAATCTAGTATTTAGCCATTATTTAAACTGATCTCTCTCTCTCTCACACACACACACACACACACACACACACACACACACACACACACACACACACACACACACACAGTTTTTTCACCATCCTTACATGGTGCTAAAAAGTATTATGTTCTTAGGCTATGTTTTTAAAATTTTGTTTAAAAAAGGCATTTAATGTGTGGACCAATCTTTAAGTCTTCATACTAAACATTAAATCTTCATACTGTCATACTGAAAACCCAAACACTCACAGTGTTCTATAATTGATTTTACAGAAAGATTACAGTAATCTATAATGGTATCCCTGTTATGTATCATTTTGAAATGCCATATTTATACAATTGACCCCTACATCTATACTGTTGTTATCAAGTATTTTAGGACAGTGGTCCATCTACTCAGAGAGTAGGATACAAAAAACTACACTGATCTCATCATTATTTATTGGTTCATTCCATGTGATATCCTCAAGATATTAAACAGCCTACATCATTCAGACATGGATTTTATTTATTGTAGCATGTTTTTATGTGCTCTTTTTGTATTTTACGACGTTTTCAAGACAAAAGACAACACAGTAAGCAAACAAAACAGTAAACTTGTGTGATCAAAGAAGAATTGAGCAAATACATCATTGGTTTATAATATATAATCTTCAACTTCAATAAATAAATAAATAAATAAATAAATAAATAAA